GGTGAACGTAGTTGATGGCCGCTGGCTCTTCAAGGTGAAGCGCCCTCCTGGAGAGCCGCCTGTGTTCAAGGCGCGCTACGTGGCTAGAGGTTTCAGTTAGCATGAGGGGGTGGACTTCTTCCAGACCTTCGCTCCGACCCCGAAGATGACTACTCTTTGGGTGCTACTACACGTAGCAGCGCAGCGTGACTACGAGCTTCACTCCCTCAACTCCTCCACTGCGTTTCTTCAGGGCAGTCTACACGAGCAGGTCTACCTGCGTCGCCCTCAGGGCTTCACTGGTACCTTCCCTCCTGGGACCCAGTGGCTCCTCCGGCGCCCCGTCTACGGCCTGCGGCAGGCTCCCTGTGAATGGCACGATACGCTGCGTGCTACGCTTGCTCACCTGCAGTTCTTTCCGTCCTCTGCAGACCCCTCGCTCTTCGTTCGTACTGGGCAGACTCTGTTCTACATCCTTGTTTACGTAGACAACCTGGTCTTCGCCACGGCAGACAGGGACGCACTGGCCTCCGTGAAGGCAGAACTGCTGAAGAGACACACCTGCACTGACCTTGGAGAACTGCGCCACTACCTTGGCTTTCAGATTTCCAGGGACAGAGCAGCCCGCACCATCACTTTGACTCAGTCACACCTCGTGCGGCATGTCCTTCAGAGGTTCGGCCTTCAGTTCTCCTCCGCACGGTCCACTCCTCTACCCCTAGACCTCAGGCTCTCTGCTCCCGTTCCTGAGGAGTCAGCAGAGCTCAGTGGTCCTTACGCAGAGCTGGTGGGTTGCCTTGTGTACCTGATGACTTGCACGCGCCCAGATCTCGCATACCCTCTCAGCATCCTGGCTCGCTTTGTGGCTACACGCGGACACCGACCTCAGTACTGGTCTGCCGCTAAGAGGGTTTTGCGTTATCTTGCAAGTACATCGGGCATGGGGTTAGTGCTAGGAGGACGTAGGCCAGTGGTCCTTACTGGACACACAGACGCTTCTTGGGCAGACGACGCCGAGACCCTCAGGTCCTCACAGGGATACTGCTTCAGCCTTGGTTCAGGTGCTGTCTCGTGGCGAGCTACCCGCTCCTCGTCTGTTGCCTAGTCCAGCTGTGAGGCCGAGATCTACGCCGGTGCCATGGCGGCACAGGAGGTCGGCTGGCTGACCTTCTTGCTCACTGACTTAGGTGAGCGGCCTAGCTCTGCCCCGGTCCTGTACGCTGACAACAGGGCCATGATCCTCCTGTGTCAGGAGCCTCGACTCGAGGGCAGAGCGAAGCACATTCAGCTGCGGTAGTTCCTCCTGCGTGAGCTGCAGCAGCGTCGCCAGGCGCGCGTAGTACACTTGGCCTCCGGTGCAGGGCTGATTTTATCAGACTATTTTAGTCTGATTGTCTGAAATTTCAGACCTATTTTTTTGCCGATCCTGATTTTTCAGACTTGCCATTTTCTGAATGCTGAACCCTTCAGACTTATATGTTTTTGAATCCTGAGAATCTCAGACTTCGCAGTTTGCGGATACTGAGTTTTCAGAGCGCAGCGCGTACGGACCCTGAGACACACATACTAGTACTGCACCTCCTTGCCCTCACCCAAAAAATTCGTCTAAGTCCCCAAGGGCCGGAGTCAAGTCCTTTCACACACACCCCGCCCCGCAACCTAAAAAATCCGGCTAAGTCCTAGCAGCGAGAGATAGTTCCCCCAGCACATTTCTTCCCTACTCGCCTCGCAGCCCCAGAAATTCGACAAAGTCCCCACAGACAGACACATCCCTCCCACACCTCTTGCGACCCTGAAATTTCGGCTAAGTCCCCACAGCAAGAAATATCCCTCCCTCAGCTCCTGCAACCCGAAAAAATCGGCTAAGTCCCTTGCAGCCATAAACAAAATCCTCCCACAAACCCCCGCAACCCGCAATCCTGCTTATTACCCGACTTTTGTGAAGTTCCTAAAAGGGGTACCAAGAAAATCATTCATCTGGCTGGCGATTTGTTTTTTCTTCTGAATTCTCAGACGATGTGAAACTAACTCTAAAAAATCACTGTCCATGGCTCAATTGAGGGAGTGTTGTTTTCCAATACGACACATTCAGGCAACTTCGTGTCATTGCTGATTTTGCAGTCATATTTGCCCGTCAATAACAATTTTGATACTAAGTGTCTTGACGTTGTATCGTGTACGAACAGGCCCTGAGGGGGAGAATTCGAAAAGGAGGGGAGGGGGAATCGAATTCGAGGGGGAAAGGGGGAGGGAATCAAAACCGAGGGGAGGGGTGAAGCGAAACGGAGGGGAGGGGGGGGGGGAGGGAGGGGGGAACGAAACGGAGGGGAAGGGGGGGGGGGGGGGGGGTCGAAACGGAGGGGAGGCATGGAAGCGAAACGGAGGGGCGGGGGGAAACGAAACGGAGGGGGAGGGGGGGGGGGGGGGGGGGGGGGGGAGGGTGGGTTCGAAAATGGAGGGGGAGGGTGGAGGATCGAAACGGAGGGCAGGCGGGAAGTTGTGGAATTGGGCGATAGGAGAAACTTCACGCCACTGCAGCGCCCCGGTTGATCGATCGTGGACGTTTATCACATGCGACCATCGAATGGTTAAAAAATGTCGAAACGATCGCAATCGATCTTGACCGTCACATCTTTTATAGAATTTCAGTTGACCAAACGGGCAGCTGTCGAGAATTTCGCCAAATATGAACGACTGTTATTAGAATGCGGAATTTACTCTTAATCGAATGCAACTTAAAAAAAAAACTGAAATCCTCTCTACTAGTTGCCAAATCAGTTTTTTTTTTAACACGCCCTCATGAAAAGGCAAACTTTTGGTAGGAAACACTGATGAATCCACGTAAATTTTCTTGACGAAAAACTGATGAATCATGGTACGCTAAAACCAGTCGTGTGGCCTGGAATGAACTCTGGAATTATAAGATTTCGACTTGGGCGCAGGACTCTGAGTCAACATTCTGAACCCTGAGTATTCCAGACTCATTGACTTTTGGACACTGAGATTTCAGAGTAGCAAAATTTCGAAAAATGGCCCTTCAGACTCGGGAATTTTTTGGGGGGGCAAAATCAGAGTGCCTTTTTTTGAAACGTCAGCCCTGCTCCGGTGCCAACACAGCTGATATCTTTACGAAGGCGTTTGCGTCTAAAGGTCATCAGCGGCACTGTGTACAGCTGGGTCTCGTTCCTGTAGCCTCTCACTTGCTAGGGCCTTGACTTTGTATTGTCCTTTATATATATATTTTACCCAGACTGGCCTTGTGGCCAGGGCCTAAGATTCATTTTTGGGTACGCTGATTCGTCAGCCTCACCCCCCAAAATTAGGCTGATGTATCAACCTTGCCCCTGGAAAAAAGGCTGAATTTTCAGTGTTGGCAAAAAAAAATTCGCTGATCAATCAGCGTTACCTGGAAGAAAAAGTCTGATGCACAGATTCAGCAGCGCTTTGTAGATTAGCGCAGGCTTTCAGTAATGAGGTTATGTCCTGGCTGCGCACTTGACATTCCGATGATTGGCTGGCGCAGTGACAATTTTCCGGTCTAAGTAAGAAATACCTTCGATGTAAGCATCGATACTAGGAATTTGAAACCTACGGAAACTGGTGAAAGTGTGGCCTGCGTTGGGCTTTGGAATCCGGATGCAGCTGAAAGAAACCTTGAATATGCACGAATGTTTTATTATTACCTTTCAATCGCGGGGTTTTTTAAGGTAATTTCGCGTCAGCGTGGTGCCCGACCCACATCTAGTCAGGGCGCATTCCTCACCGATGTGGCTGGCCGTTTTGTGGCGAGTTTTTTACGGTCGATATTCCAGCCTGAGAGATGGGAGACGATCGTGAGCGTCTGTAAGTTTGTGGCAAGTGTCCTGCCACTGGCGAAGAATACGCCCTCAAACACCACCATCGCAACAGGGAGGGGACACGTGTCTGCATGAGGAGTTTTCCATATACAGTAGTGTACATAGCTTACCTTAGGGTTTTCGTCCACACGGCAGATCCAGGTATATCTCTCGCGGGACCCAGACAGAATGGGTTTATCTGGAACGTTACCCGTCAATGTCCGGGTTCAGTCCCGGGATTTTCTCCCTGATGACAAACGCTCTCAGGAAAAGTTCCTGGATTCTACAAGGGGAACCACGTAAGAGTACTACGCTCAGCTCTTATACTTCTACTTCTTGAACTTCCTTGCTAGGGCTGATGTGCCCTGGGGGGAGGGAATGGGGGGGGGGATCTGTGGGGTGGTGTGAGAAGTTTTAGTATCCGTGTTTCTCAAAACCGAACACGTCACTTCATGTGTTCTGGTCAAAATGTACCCGTCAAATCAGGGTTCATGAAAATCGAACACGTCGCAATCCGGTTTTGGTTCAAAACTCACCCGTTATTTGGTCAAAATCCGGGTAGTTACCCGTAAAAAATAAGCCCTGGTAACTGTACTCTATGTACCCTTGGTTGTGGGGAAGTGGGAAAAGGGAGGTACGTGTGTGGCTGTGGGGTGGAGCGGAGACTCTGCAAATCTTCCTTGGTTGCGGGGGTATGAGAGGGGTGTGAGTGATTTGTGACTGGTTGCAGGGGACTTTGCCAAAAACATGTCTTGCGGGTGTTAGGAGTGGGGTGCGGTGTGACTGGTTGCGGGGGGACTTAGCAAAAACTTAGATTGTGCCTTAGAGGGTAGAACTGGGCCTGGGGGGCTATGGGCGCACTTACCCGCTATTCAACAAGCCCTTTTAACCCAGTGGTTAGTGGCTGGGTTTCTGACATGGTACATCAGGGCCAAAGGTCTTAGGTTCAACTCCCGGTGCCAGCGCTGCAGAGGCGCTCGTGTCTTCCACCTATCCCAGCGGGGGGGGGGTGTTGAGTGACCCGCTGGGGTTGCCCTTGAGATCCTCGGGGAAGGGCTACAGGTGCAGAGCCTGGGGGGCTATGGGCGCACTTACCCGCTATTCAACAAGCCCTTTTAACCCAGTGGTTAGTGGCTGGGTTTCTGACAAGAACACCCTAGTCTATATATCCTTGTACACACACATTCTAGTCCAATCATTTTCTTTCTGATAAATGACACTAGTGAACAGCTAGCCACATAGAGAAACGAGCCAAGGAACATCACGTGAAACACTCACACAACTGGCCGTTTGCAAAGCTAATCACACCACTTCCAGCAGCAGCTGCTCTCTAGTTCCCAACCCAACAATCCAAGCTTCTCGACTGATATTAGATCTCTAACTAGTGTTCTAACAGCGGCTCAGGTACCTCCTCTTGCTGTAATCCTAGTAAGAGCCAGCATTGCAGCTGTAGCAAGGTAGCCTGTGCAGCAGCCTCATCTGCAGTTGCTCTTCTCAACTGCAGACACGATCTTGTCAAAGATACGCAGCAGCGAAGCAGGACCCGGTGATAGCCCCTCTGCTTTCTGCTTCTCCCTGATGCCTGCCGCCCCACCCTCATGACCAGCACCAACACCAGCACCAACGCCCGCTCCACCATCTGCATCGGCACGTTCAGGGGCAGCGGATCGGCCCTCCTCCGCCGCTCTGCCCAGCGAGGGGTCAAAGGGCACGCGGCCCAGGAAGGGCACTCCCATGGTGCGTGCCATGGCCTCACCGCCCCCGCCACTGCCCGTGTGGAACATGTCAGTTGACAGGAGGAGAGGGCCGGGGAAGAGCTGGGGGAAAGAGGGTGGGGTAAGGAGATGGAGGGAGGTAGGTGAAGGAGAGTGAGGACTAGGAAGGGCACGCGTCCGAGAAAGCCACTCCCATGCAGAAAGGACACTCTCTTGCTGCACTTGGTGACTTCGGAAAGCAGCAGAGGGCCAGGGAAGTGCTGCGGGGAGGCATAGGAGCCACGGAGGGGGAAGACGGGAGATGGAGGGAGGGAGGGGGTGAAGAGTGAGAGCATTGAGCGTCACTCCCATGTTCCGCACAATGGCCTGCCCTCCTCCGCTACCTCCTATGTCCTGCATCACGAATCTTCCCCCCCCCTACTGGCTATGTGGAATATGGTGGTTGTGAACAGCAGGGGGGCAGGGAAGAGCTGGAATGCCGGCATGAAGGGAGAGACGGAGTGAAGGGGGTTGATAACATCATGAACGAAATATACTTGACAAGTGCCATGCATCCTCCTCACAACACAACAGTTCACTATTCAGACACACACGCCTACAAAGGCCTTCCCATGACCAGTGACATGCATCCCCCCCCCACCCCCTTCGCCTCGCACTACCCCCTTTGCCTCGCACCCTCCTGCGCACGCGGTGCACGCAGGAGAGCCCAGTGAGCCCATGGAGCGGCATTTAGCAGCGCACCTGCTGCAGGGCCTCCAGCACCCGCACTGTCACGTCCTCGCCGCCACTCTCCGCTGCCCCGCTGCCCTCCTCGCACGCATGGCTGTTAGTCTCGCCATTTGGAAAAACGCTGGCAGCTGACGTGGCAGTAGTGGTGCGGGCGGAGTGAGTGGGTTGGTGGGAGAAACGAACAGACGAGAGCGGCACCTGGGGGAGGAGGGACGGGCGGGAGGCGGGGAATCAAGCAGCAAACGAGTGTGTGTGTGAGCGAGTGAGAGGGCGAGAGAGAGAAGGTTGGGCATAAAGAAAGAGGATATGGAAAGGTGCAGAGGGCGGTGGTGAGATCAGCGGCCAGCAGGGGAGACTTCCCGCACGGAGGGGACACACCTGCAAGTTGAGTACCTTCACGCAGGGGAGCATACCTGCAGGGAGCATGCCTGCAGGGAGCATGCCTGCAGGGTCGCCATGTTCTCCACCACGCTGAGCACATTGAGGCCGACCTTGTGGCAGGAGACATAGTTGCTATATGGCACAAATAATATCTCCTGAGAGTGCACAGTAGCACAAGCAGCGAGTGCAGAGTAGCACAAGCAGGGAGTGCACAGTAGTGCAAGCAGGGAGTGAACAGTGGTGCAAGCAGGGAGTGAACAGTAGTGCAAGCAGGGCGTGCAGAGCATAGTACCTGCAGCTCGGCCATGTTCTCGACGACGCCCAGCACGTTGAGGCCGACCTTGTGGCAGAAGCTGAGCTCCTTGCGCACGTCCATGAGGGACACCTCCTGGCGTGGGGATGGGTTGAGATGGAGGGGCAGCGCGGCAAGAGCGGAGCAGTGGGTTAGCACGAGGTGAGTGAGAAGCTCAGCTCCTTGCACATGAGAGGCACCTCCTGGTGGGGACATGTGGGGCATGGGGCGAGAGGGCATTGGATGACAGGGGATTAGGCGTCAGAAGCTGACCTACCTGCGCACGTCCATCAAGGGCGCCTCCTGGTGTGATGGGGACAGGTGCAGCGAGATAAGAGGGGAGGAGGGAGCGCGAGTGAGAGGCCCAGGAGCTTGCGTGCGTCCTGGTGGAAGGGGGGCACGTGAGATAGGTGGGAGTGAAGTGACCACAACGGCGTCAGTCCATTGCCAAAACCAGAGAGCATCTCAGCTTGACATCTCAGCCACTCGTGGGGTGCCTGCCAGCTGCACATACCCGGGCCAACATCATAGCCTGCTAGCCATTCTGCTTAATGGACACAGAGCTAGAGCAACCTGGTTCTGATGGAGTGACGCTCGCTGCTGTGGGCGATGAGCTGAGGACGAGCACTGGTGCTAGGCATGGGAGGTTGAGGCGGCGGACGGGGCATGAGCAATGGACAGAGTGGTGCCCGTCAGTGGGCAAGCAGGTGAACTGCGGCGGCTACGTCCATGCAGTAGAGGTTGGCGTGGCGAACCACACTTCACAACAGGAAAGTGCGCAATGAAACTAGGGGCGGTGAAACGTTGTGAAGACAGAGAGGGTTAGCCTAATGAATCACACCTGGGGTGGTTAGCCCGTTGACTCGCACCTGAGGGGTGGTGAGCACGATAGCCCCATCCACATGAGCAGCCTTGAGGAATTGGACTGCTGATATGTGCTCATCTGATGTGCCGGGCGGTGAGTCCACCACAAGATAATCCAGCTCGCCCCAGTCCACGTCCTTGAGGAACTGAGGGCAGTGAGGGCAGGACAGGGAATCACGGGTGGAAACGGATCATCGAGGCGGCAAGAATAATGAGCCAAGAGGTACATGGCGGCAGGGCTCCTCCTTGAATGACGCTAGAGGTGGCGCGCTGGCTTTTAGAAGCGTGGCTGCCGAGTTCACGACCAGTCCCACTTTCACAAGTCTACTTGCTCCACAGTCCACTGCTTGTGCGCCCTATCGCTCTCGAACAAATGACCTCACCTGCTTGAGGACGACTCACCTGTTTAATGAGGCTGTTCTTCCTGGGACCGCGCCACACCACAGCGTCATCGGGGTTGGGCAGCATGAAGCCGATGGACATGACGCCCAGGCGGTCGTCCACGTACACGGGCGACCACCCACTGGCGCTCTGGTGGATCTCCTCGCCCTCCAGCCCCATCAGCCGCGGCATGCTGGGCCCGCAGATGTCGATGTCCAGCAGCCCCACCTGCGAGGGGGGAGAGAGGGGGGGGGAGGTGGGAAAGGGGAGAGGGAGAGGAGAGGGGGAAGGGGGGGGGAGGAGGGAGGAAGGTTGGGTGTGATGCATTAAGTGAGACTGAGGGGATGCTGGGGCCGCAGATGGCGATGCTCGACAGGACCACCTGCGGGTGGGGGGGGGGGTGATGCAACGAGGCAAGTGAGAGCGGATGCACCTCACGGAAACAACAAAGAATTTCACTGGCTGCAGACGTTGATGTCCAACGCACCCACCTGGGAGGGGGGGAGAGGAGGCGCGGAAAGGAAGTGATTGAGGGTTGCGAGAGAGGCAGTGTTGGAACGTGACCCCGACTGTCGATCCTAACCGGCACTTCGAAAACGTGCAATCCCAACCAAGCAATCCCTGCCATGTAAAGCTTGCCCACCCAAGCCCAGCCATTCCTTGCCCCACACCACATCCCTCCCGCTTCCCCGTGACTCCAGTCCCAGCAGATACCAAACAGCCCACCTGTTTGTCCTGATGCGCCAGGTGCCACGCCAGCTGGGCGGCGAACGTGCTCTTGCCCACGCCGCCCTTCCCCGACAGCACGAGCACGATGTGTTTCACTGCCTGCAGGCGCTGCGCTATGGCGGCTAGATCTGTGGGGGAGAGGGGGGGGGAGGAGAGAACGGCACTGCATGCATTAGAGGGGCAACGGTGCATCAGCAACCAGCGCCAGCACGATGTGCTTCACTGCCTGCAGGCGCCTCGCAATGGCGGCCAGATCTGCACAGAGGGGGAGACGGAGGGAGAGAGAGGCGGTATCACGTGTGTGAGTAGGTGATGACGTCTTGTGCTTCACCAGCACCTGCAGGCTCTGCGCACCATGTGCTTCACTTCACCACCTGCAGGCTCTGCGCCACGCCGGCGAGGTCTGTCCTAGAATCGGAGGGGGTTGGTATTGCATGCTAATAGATAGGTGACGACTCTTCAACCAGCAGCACTGTGTGCTCCACTGCCTGCAGCCTCTGCACTATGGCGGGTAGGTGTGGGCAAAGGGCTGTGGCGGGAGACAAGACGGAGGGCGCAGGAGGACGGAAGAGGCACATCGCATCGCATCGCATCACATCTCAACGTGTCAAAACGATAACAAGAGCTCACGAGAGGCACAAAGAGTGTGTCTGCGGATATTCCCTGCTGCTCGAAACCCAACCCAGGCGCGCTATGTGCTGCAGCGCTGCAGCAAGGAGGGGGGATGGACGAAGGGGGAAACAAGGCGGGGGAGTGGGGCGGGCCCTAATGGACCCTTGCCTGAACAGGCGCAGCGCCGCCACCACGTGAGTTCCACATTCGACCTAACAAGAGGCGGCGTCCGCGAATCCCAACACTGCACGTGGCGCGCATTTGCTGGCTGGGGCAGTCCCTTGGGGGCGGTCGCGCAAGCTGCGTGAGACAGCCCGCGCATGGTGCCACTGCCACCTGTGAGGCGCCTCAATCGACCATGAGCCCCACCAACCTGGATCCGGTCCCTTGGGCGCCGTGGCACAAATTTGTTGGTTGGGGCAGCCCGCACACGCTGCTGCCTTCCCCGCCTCTTCGGCCCCCGTCCCTGGGCAATCTGGGGAGGGGTGGGGGGAAAAGAGGAGAAAGGGAGGGGGGGGGGGGGGGGGGAGGGAGAGGGAAGGGGAGGGGAGAGTAGAGGGCAGCAGGCGGAGGCCGATCTGCTGATTGAAGCAGCCCGCACAAACCGCGCCCTTCCCGCACACAGCGCGCCCTTCCCAGCACACAGCGCGCCCTTCCCAGCACACAGCGCGCCCTTCCCCGCCTCTCCGCTGTGGTTCCCGGGCAACCTGGAGGGAAGAGGAGGAAAGGGCTAGAGAGACGAGGCGAAGGGTGAGGTAGGGAGCACAAGACCGAGGATGGAAATCGAGAGCACCAAGATAAGTCAGGCGGTGCGAAGCACGGCAGTTCCCGAGCAAGGGGAGGTAGATAGGGCATCCTGCCCCCTGACAACACGATTCTTGCCGTGCGAAAAAACGAGGGATGTAAAATGGGGCTAACCGGCGGATTCCGATGTGCTTACTCACGCTGGTTGGCGCCCTCCGGCACGTCGCCCACCGGCTGCGCCTCTTGCGACTCCTCCATGGCGTCCACGCGCGCACGGAACGGATGAAGTCTACACGAAAGAGAATCGTCCACGCGAGAGACGGCGTATCGCACGAGAGGCCTGTGGAAGTTGGGCTGGAGGTGGACACCAGAGCCCAGAAACTCCGCAGATTCGTCCTGCCGGACCCAAAAATGCTTTTGCAACACACTGTTTAGCTTAGAGCACAAATTCCAGAAGCTACAATTTTATGCATCCTATAAGCACCATTCCAAGCAGGGTCTCAGGGTTCGTTCCCCCCTAGTGTCAGATTTTTTAACCCTAAGCTGTCGACGGTATAGATGCTGACACGTCAGGAATACTGATGAGGTGTGACGCTTGAAACCGTAAGTGCTTCGGGTCAAAATTCTTGACCCTGGAGGAAAACAGACTCTCAGATTTTAGGCTAAAAAGGCCTGAGAAGTTGTATATAAAGTTTTGTTTTTCGCATATCCTGATTTTCAGACTTCATTATTTTTGCTCTCCTGATTTTTAGGGGTCGTTGATTTCGTAAGCCTGAAAATCTGTATGCTGTTGTTTTAGAGAGCCTAACCAAACAACCTTTGCAGGAAATCGGCCTGAAACACAATCTTAGGACCTGGTGAAGTCACTGGGAATTCCTGAGCATCGACTTGGCACGGCACGAGGCCGCACGATTCACGGCTCGGCGGTGCACCTAGCCTAATTGGTTGCCTGCCAGCCTGGCACAGGGTTCGAGGAGACCAGGAAACTCGCGGAAGCTTCGAGAAACTCACGCGAAATAAAAAAAACCCTCGTCACAGCACTAAGTTACGAAATGCTCCGCAAACAGGGAAACCCAGATCGCAAACCATTTTCCCAAACCCACGACACACAAACCCACGGCACACACAGATCCCATCTCCTCACGAAAGTTCTACGGCGAAAAGCATTTTGGTGTCCGCGTGGTTACGGACGTTGCGAAAGAATTACAACCCCGAGATGAGTCTGTCATATTCGTGAGTTTGGCGCGCTGCATAGCACGCCGTGCCTCGACTCAGTGCTCCGAAGACCATTAGGCCGTGCGAGGTCGTGCCAAGGCACGTGCCAAGGAACGAAGAATTTCATGTATTTGCCAGCCTGGCATGACAGCTGGCGATGCATTGCATCGGTACGCAAACCTATCACCACGTCTTTATTCCCCCCGCCCCCCCATCCCCCTCCACCCCCCAGTGTAGTCTTCCGCCGAGATCCGGCGTTGATGGGGCTCGGCCCTAAATGGGCAGTTTTCAGGAAAGTACACGTGTACATGACGCCAGGGTCGCGGTCGCAGCCAAGGTCGTGTTATACTTGCGCGAGGAATTGGAGCTTCGTTTGAGCGTCTCACAGCCTATCGTCACTACACTTATGAGATTGGGACTCGCGACACGTACTTTACAGTTCACCGAAGTCCGAGAATTACAAATCATATTCCAGTATTGCAAGCTCCGCGAATGTTGGATTCTTCACTTAGCGCATACCCCCATGCGACCCACGCAAAAATATAAGAAACGCTTCTCAGGTTGTATAAGCTTGGTCGCTTCTGTATGGTAGAGGGGTGGGGAGCCTGTCGTATGCACCGACCATGTCCACGTAGGCACGTCGCAAGGTTTTCGCAGTGAGTTTCAAAGCTCAGTTTCATCAAAGCATGTTACTTTCGCCATCGCAACAACAACACGTTTGAAACACCCCATAACATTATTTCGGTCAAAGGCCATATATTATACGACACCATTGTGCAATGTCAGACTGCTGTAGAGTTGAATGTTTGGTCGAGTACTTGCAAATAGCAATTTTCTGCTCCACAATGAATGCAACCTGCCGCATGGGCTGTTAAGACTAGAAAGTATGATTAGAAAGAGAGAGAACAGAAAGATATAGCATTTGGGTTGTACCCACTAAGAACGTACCCTATCTAGCCTACAACTTCTACATAATAAAATATGTATAAGTTGACACACCCTCTAGGCTAACAAAGGGGTAGTGCTGGCCAAGAAACATGCAGCTCAGGGTGGCACTACTAGTCCAACCTCTGAGGCAGAGGCCCGAAGACCAGTCAGGAAGAGTACAAGCAAGACAGAGCAAACCAGGGCGGCACTACTAGTCCAACCACTGGAGAAAAAAGCAACAAGGCCAGTCAAGAAAGCATAAATATAAAGGAGTACACAATCAGGGGCCTAGCAAGTGAGAGTCAACAGGGACTAGACCTAAATGCAAGCAATGCAGCTGATAATCTCTAGGCGGAAGCGCCTTAGTAAAGATATCAGCTGTGTTGGCACCGGAGGCCAAGAGTACTATGCGGGCCTGGCGACGATGCTGAAGCTCACGCTGGAGGAAGTACCGCAGCTGGATGTGCTTCGCTCTGCCCTCAAGTCGAGGCTCCTGACACAGGAGGATCATGGCTCTATTGTCAGCGGACAGAACCGGGGCAGAGCTAGGCCGCTCACCTAAGTCGGCAAGCAAGAAGGTCAGCCAGCGGAGCTCCTGTGCCGCCACGGCACCGGCATAGATCTCAGCTTCACAGTTAGACTGAGCAACAGACAAGGAGCGAGTGGACCTCCATGAGATGGCCCCAGAACCAACGCTGAAACAATAGCCCTGGGTGGACCGGAGAGTCTTAGCGTCGTCTGCCCAAGAAGTGTCTGTGTGCCCAGTAAGGACCACAGGACTGTGTTCTCCCAGCACTAGCCCCATGTCCGATGCACTTGCAAGAAAACGCAAAACCCTCTTAGCGGCCAACCAGTGCTATGGTCGCTGTCTGCCTGTGGCCACAAAGCGGGCCAGTATGGTGAGAGGGTATGCGAGATCTGGGCGAGTGCAAGTCATCAGGTACATGAAGCAACCCACCAGCTCTGCGTAAGGACCACTAGGCTCTGCTGACTCCTCGGGAACTGGAGCCAAGAGCCTGTGGTCTACTTGCAGAGGTGTGGGCAGTGCGGAGGAGAACTGAAGACCGAACCTCTGAAGCACATGGCGCACCAAGTGTGACTGTATAAGAGTGATGGTGCGTGCTGCTTTGTCCCTGGAGATCTGCAGGCCAAGGTAGCGGCGCACCTCTCCCAGGTCAGTGCAGGTGTGTCGCCTCAGCAGCTCAGCCTTCACAGAGGCCAGCGCGTCTCTGTCTGCTGTAGCAAAGACCAGGTCGTCTACCAGGATGTAGAACGGAGTTTGGCCAGCACGAACGAAGAGCGAAGGGTCAGCAGAGGAAGGAAAGAACTGTTATAATCACAATAGGCTTAGATGTGCCTATAATGAGAGATAGAGAGCACAGTCGGATTTCCGTCAGACGGCTTCAAATATTGATAACGATCTGGTCGCTGAATCAAACTGTGATTTGTAAGTTGGATCTGGAGCGCGTTGCTGTCGTCTATCAGCAGCAAGTTGAATCATGAAATTCCATGAAGATTTGACGACCCTATGGCGGTTTGCCTGGCAGGAGGTATAGCAGCCACTATAGTCTTGGAAGTACAAACTTAGCAAGAAGAGTTTTTTGAGGGAGATGGTTCCCAGCCTCTACATACCCTAAGAGCCGAGGTCCAGGTTGGTGGTACACCACCACAGAGTCCCCAACCATGAAGATTCTCGAAACCAACCCTCCAAGGGGCTACACCAAGTGAAATATAACACTACACGAAGTAACGTTACTATTTTCACTATTTAATATTTATCCGCGTCCCTTGGGCTTGAAATCTTGAGCTCTTGTTCTTGGATCTGCAGGATAAATTCTTCTTGAGTTGATGGGGGCTTGCTGCACACACCTGCGACACGATGGACACTTCACACTCGACAAAATAGAAAAAAAACACATGCGACACACAAACGACGACTTGACATGCGAGTTGTAAAAACTCGCTAATGTCTTGACCGACACAAACCACATTGTGATACACCATTCAAACACACACACAAGCACTGGATAGCAATGACATAGACTCACAATTCATTCCATGCCATGCATGCACACACACAAACAAGGACGACAAGCCGAGTGCAAGCCATAGGGTTGCACCAACAAACTCCCCCTCGGATTGTTGGCCTTATAATCTGCTCCCCTTAGTTAAGAGCCATCCAGCAATCTTGCAACACTTCCAACGTTGCTGCTCAACCAGCCTCTTGGTCATCATATCAGCAGGCTGCGCCGTCGTCTTCACGTAGTGCAACTCCACTTCACCCGCGGTTACCATGCTCCTCACCCAATGCCACTTCACCTTCATGTGCTTGGTAAGGCCATGAAGAACGGGGTTCTTAGCCAATGCAATCGCACCCTGGCTATCACAGTAGAGTGGGGTAGGTCCTTGCTGCTCCTCCCCCAATTCAGCTAGCAAACGCCGCTGCCACACAACCTCTCTTATGGCACGGAAGAGTGCCATGTACTCGGACTCCACCGAGCTCAATGCTTGGTCCACTTGTTTCTTGCTCTCCCAAGCTGTTGGCCCTCCACCAACACAGCAGATGAAGCCTCCCACACTTGTCATGTCCTCTGGTTCTGATGCCCAAGATGCATCAGAGAAGGCGGTGAGAAAGAGCCTCCCGGGTTCGACTCCATCCGCACCCTTTTGACGCCTTTGTGCCGCCGCGGAGTATTGCAGTCCCACAGTTGCTGTTTGGCCAAGGTACTTGGCCACCCTCTCTCCAGCTACTACCTGCTCCTCATTAGGGCATTGGACAACCCTAGCTAGCTGCCCGGTAGCAAAGGCTGCATCCGGCCTTGTATGAACGGCCGCATACATGAGGCTGCCCACCAAGGATTGAAAACGCCGCCTCGCCTCTTCACCAACACTTTCCTCCGCTGGTCCTTTCACACACTTGAATCCTGAGGGAAGATGAGTAGCCACAAGACCTTCACTCTTCCCAATGTTTGCAGCCAAGGCCTCCAAGTACTTCTTTTGATGCACTCGCATCCACCGCTTCTCCACATCTCGCTCAATGTGAAGCCCAAGGTAGTAGTTGACGACACCAAGGGTCTTGCACTTGTACTTGTCTTGAAGCTTCAGCATCACCTCCTTCACAAGGTCAGAGGAGGGTGAGAATATGAGGATGTCATCCATATAAACCACCATGAAGCTCCTCTGCTCCCCCTCGCCAAGCATGAACAAGGATTGATCGGCCGTTGAGGGAGTGAAGCCGATCGCCTCCAAGACTTCCCGCAGCTTGATGTACCATTGCCTAGGGGCTTGCTT